CTGGGGGCTTGGGCGCCCCGAGAGCCACAACCTCAGAGTGGAGACTAGCTCGCACTAAATACATAGATTTACAATGGGGGGTGGGGGGCGGGGCCAGGAGATAGAGGGGGCTGGGGGAACCCCATCTGCCTGTGGATGGGGGGATCCCGATGCCCACATCCCCCGCCCCGGGCCTGGACTCAAGGTGCCTTGGACTTTGGGGGCTAGGCCTGGCACATTGCGGGGCTGGGGCAGCACCCGCGGGGGGCACGGCACAGAGCAGACATTCCATAGATTGTATTTGAGAGTCTTTATAACGTGTGGGAGATGACAAAAATAAATTGATAAAACATGCACTTTTTGGGGGTGGGGGGGAGCTTTAACGTAATAAAAGAAAAACAAAAACAAAAAAGAGACAAAAGTGGATGAAAAACCAGGAAGCAACCACCACCGTTTTTCTTGTACATAAAAACCACTAAACGCAGCCTGTTACGACCGCTGCTGCCTCATTTGCCTGATTTTGCTGTTATTTGTGTTTTGTTGGGGGGAGGCCAGGGAGCGGGGGTGGACGGTTTGGGGGGGCCCCTTCCCCTGGCATCCCCAAATCCAAATCCAGCATGGCGGGGGGCTGCCCCAGTCCTGGGGTTTAGGCTTCTAGTGTGCACCACTTGGATCAACTCCTGGGGGCCCAGAGAGAACCCTAAACTCAGTCCCACCTGGCCTGGGGAATCTTTTCCATGTGGAGGGCCCCTTTGTCATATGCGGGGAGGCAGGGGTGTGGTGAAGGAACCCAGGCTTCCATCTTTCCGGTGCAGTGGGAGTGCTGGGGGGGGGGCGGGTCTAGGAACTCTAAAGTTGCTGGGGGTGCCCAGGCCTGGAGGCCCCTGTGGAAGAGGTGACCCCCCAGCCGCCACGAAGGCAGGTGGCCCGAGGGAGGCACGGGGATAACCGGCTGGGTGGGCTGTGCGCAGAATCGAGACCAGGGCCTGAGCCTTGGTCACCTCCAACCCAGGGTTTCTGGGGGCCCCGGGCAGGGTAGACTCCACCAGGCCCCAGAGAAATTATCAAGGGTCTGGGGCTGGAAACCTGAGCTAGCTGCCCCAGCCAGCCAGCCCCCACGGGTGTACTCCTTAGGGAGGGAGGCCAGGGGCTGTGGTCACGAAACATAGACACCTCCAAGGCCCTGTCCCCCAGCCAGCCAGGCCCATGGCCTAAGCAGTGTGTCTAGGCCAGTGAGCCTGGAGGTAGGGGTGGGTGGGGGCTCAACTCCAGGACACAGAGGCACAACTGGGGGCATGGATGGCCGAGCTGGCCCCCGGCCACCCTGCCCCATGGCTACCCACCCCCCGAGGGGAGTAGGGTCCACTAGGAACCTCAGTTTCCTCCTCTGTGAATTGGGCCCAGGGCTTGGAGGGGAAGTCCTCCCTCTTCCTCTCCTGGGCAGCTCTCAGGGCTCAGAGAGGCCCAGTACGAGCTGCAGACACGGATTCGAGCCCTGGTCTTCAATATTCGGCTTGGGTGGAGGGCCGTGGATGAGGCCGGGGCCCCGACCCCTTGTCCCCTATCCATTGAGAACCCTTCCTGAACCTGCCATCCCACACCTGGCCCCGAGAACACCAGAGGCCAGGCGGAGGTCACATGGCGTCGGAAGCTGAGTGGGTCACAGGACATCAGTGGCCTCTGGATCAAGAACCAGCACAGAAGCACCCAGCCCACGCGAGGGGGTTCTTCACCCCCATGGCTCCTCATGAGGTAGCATGTTTTGTTTCTAATTGAGATAGAACACAGATACCTTAAAATTCATCTATTGAAATTAAGTGAGCAATCTGCTTTTTTGTACCAGTGGTCCCCGACATATGACATATCCCGTTATGACCAACTGTCCCTTCTTTTTTTGTACATCTTACCGATAGTCATACATACTACGTGCAATGTTAAAATATATCTGTAAGTTTGTATGTAATGTTTTCAACCCCCTAATACTGGATTTATAAAGATACTGATGATAAAAGGCAGTAAGAATGAAAACTAAAAGAAAAATAAATTAGGTATTCGACAACATCAGAACCAATTTAGGACGGAGTCATCAGAATGGAAGCCCGTCGTAAGTCAGTGGCTACCTGTCCACTGAGCTGTGCAGCCAGCAGCACTACCTAATTCCAGAACATTTTTCCTTGCCTCGTAAAGAACCCCCTCCCCCAAAAGAATAAATAAAAAATTTAAAAAAGGGACCCCAACCCCATCAGTGGTCACTCATTGTTTTCCCCAACCCCCTGGCAACCACTAATCTACTTTGTGTCTCTGTGGATTTGCCTGTTCCGGACATTTCATATAAACAGAATCACGAACTATGTGTCCTTTTGTGTCTTGCTTCTTTCACGCAGGGTGTTTTCAAGGTTCCTTCATGTCATAGCATGCATCAGGTCTTCATTACTCTTGATGGCTGAAGACTTCATTGTATGGATGACCCCAATGTACTTCCCCATCATCTGCTAATGGACACTTGGGTTGTTTCCACCTTCCGGTTACTGACTAGGCTGCAGGGAACGCTGCTGTACAAGTTATGAGTGCCTGCTTTCAATTCCTCTGGGTGTACGCCCAGGAGCAGGGCTTCTGGGTCAGATGGTAGGTAACTAAGGAGCCTCGTGGTGCAGTGGTTAAGCACTAAGCTGCTAAGTGAAAGGCTGGCAGTTTGATGCCACCCAGCAGCTCCAGAGGAGAAGGACCTGGTGATTCAGAAAGATTACAGCCAAGAAAACTCTACGGGGCAATTCTGCTCTGTCGCACAGGCTCACAATGAGTCGGAATCAACTCCACGGCACCCAACCTGGTAACTCTTATGTTTAACCCTTTGAAAAACTGAATCAACTCCACGGCACCCAACATGGTAACTGTTTAACCCTTTGAAAAACCACCGTTTCCCCAAGTAGCTGCAGCACTTTCCAACCCCACCAGCCATGCATGAGGGTTCCAGTCTCTCCACATCCTCACCAGCGCTTGTTAATGTCTTTCTGATCAGGGCCATCCTAGTGGGAGCGAAGGGGTATCTCGCTGTGGTTTCGATTTGCATTTCCCTGATGCTAATGACGTTAAGCATCTTTTCATGAACCAATAGCCATTTGTACATCATCTCGACCACCCAGGAAGGCGGGAAAATTCTGGTTCCAGACTGAATTCCTTGCCCGGCCTAAGCCACCTCTCTGGGCTCCCAGAAGGACACTGGGTTCAGGTGGTCCGAAGCAAAATCCTTCTCACTGGACTCAACGCTGTGCCTCTTTGAGCCCTCAACCTTGTGCAGCAAAGGGAAAGACTGAACAGAGGATGCCCCCCCTCAGGGGACACTGACCCCAGACAATCTGTACAACGAAAAGGCAGAGACGCGACACTTTGCTGGCTTCGCCGTGACTGTTTTTATTTGCATTTTTAAAAAACAATTAAATTAGAATACAAATATTAGAAAACAGCGGCCCTCAGCTGTCTGGGCGGGCGGGCGGGGGGCCGGCCGGCCTGCGCCGCCGAGTTTATACCATGAGACCGAGTTAGCCCTCCGCCGGGTTCTAGTTCCCTTCTTCTTGAGACCTGAAATGATATTGCTTCCTGACTAGAAGGGCGCAGTCGGCAGAGGAAACCGGCCCTGGGGTCGGAGTGGCGGGCAAAGAGAGGGCAAAGCCAATCAGAACGGCGGCAGGGGCCGTCTGCAAGTCCAGGGAAGCCGCCGCGTCCTGCTCCCGTGCCTCCTGGGGCACAGTGGCTGGGTGGGGGGCTGGCACCCAGTCGCAGGGCCCCGGAGGCCCGAGGCTGGAGACCCCAGAGGGGCAGTGCGGAGGTACTCCCGCTGTGCCAGGCTGGCCTGGTCCCGCTGGAAGACTAGGGTGAGGCCCTGGGGAGGGGCGCCGGGCAAGCCTCGTACCCGTCCGAAAACCCAAGAGCAAGAACGAAAGGGAAGCAACCCAAGTGGAGGGGGAGGGAGGGAGGGAGAGAGGGAGGGAGAGGGG